GGTTCGAGAGAGGCAGGGGGAAGAGTTGAGGAAGGGTTCGAGAGAGGCAGGGGGAAGAGTTGAGGAAGGGTTCGAGAGAGGCAGGGGGAAGAGTTGAGGAAGGGTTCGATTGGGGGTGGGGAAGAGTTCAGGGTGGGAGGGGGTCGGATGTGACCTTTTGTAATAACATTCACTAAATTTTGATACAAACAAATTCAAGACGACAGTATTCAGACAAACATTGTTTATTGATAAATCTTGCAAACTACAATTTACAACATATCCACTTATTAACATAATAAAAATTAAGAAGTTAATTATGTAGGAAAATCGGCAAATCCTTGACTCCAAATACTCAGAGAAAAGGTTGGCGCCAAATTTTCCACTTTAATCTGGTACTATGAAGACTGAACGCCAAGCCAACGTGCCGCCACCTGCCGGGCTTCAGGGCGAACCCTTACTCCCAGCGTACGGGCATGGAAACCCGCGACCGGGGTGCCTGGATGAGGAGGGGCGGCCTCAAGACTAAAGTGTCCCCGGCTTGGCGTGTCCTTCGTTACGGTACGACCGTGGCCCTCTCGTCTGCCCCCGGGACTCCGCGCTCTTTTGTGCAAATGAATCCGTCCCCTACTTGCTGAGAGCTGGGAGTTTCAGAACAGCAAGATAAAAAGGAGGACGGGCACCAAGGAAAACCTTGTTTTTGATAGGGTTAGAATGACTCGGGGTCAGGACAAGCGAGACTGAAAAATGGCGCGTTCCCGGTATTTATACCCTGGCTATGTCAGCCAATCACGGAGTAGCCGTCCTCCAAGCCAATCACGAGCCTTGAATTTGGACGACAATACATGAAGGTAGGAGGTAGTAGGACTCACTTTATTGACTATTGAGTTTATACTTTGCCTTCGTATGAAACAATGACATTCGACGCAAAACACTTAACATTTTAAACGCAGTACTTTTGTGGCATACGTAATATGTGGTGATGTTTTATAAGTGTTTTCCTTGCATTTTTAATATCTCCCCTACTAAGTTAAATGGAATTGGCCGTGATTGGTTACCTGGATTTGAATATCGCCCTAGCAGCCCCCAATGGGAAGTGATCTGTTCTCATGAAAGACCACAAGGCCTAAATTTTATGGATGTCACTTTCCACAGACTCCAAATTTAATGCGATTGGGCGAAAATGTCGAGGATATAAAAATCCAAGATTCCATTTTTAAAAGCAAGAATTATAAAAGCAACCAAACATGGTATCACATGTACAACCAACAGGTCTTTCTTTCCTACATTCCACAGTATTATCGGTCCTTGTATATGTGCATATATGATGAGGATGTATATGTGTATAGATCCCGATTAACAAGACCAAAAATCTAGAAAATAGCTTATCAACCATTACGGACAGCTTGTAGAATAGGTATCAATATATGCGATGGAACACCTGCTGCCATTGGACAACGTAACCCAACCCCGACCCGGGGCCAATACGAACTGTAAACCCTCCACATATTCATGATTTAAGATTGCAAGAAGATTTTTTTTTGTGGTTCAAACAAAGTCAAGCTTGTCTTAACCGATGCCCTGGTATCAATAAGTAAGTTACTATTTATTTGAACAGTGAGAGATTTTGCCCAAAAGTATACGACAAAGAATGAATAAAGTTGTCCGGACATATTAAAGTGACTTCAAGTGTCATTTCCTTAGAATCATAGCTTTGTTCCACACCAAAGGGGGTCGGTAGAAGCTTTATCGCAGCCAAAGTCAGTTATGACGCGACTCACACTTTAGAGTCAGGACGGTTCACGCAAAGGTTGATGGGAATGCAGCCAGCGACAGGTAAAAGCATTACGTCATCGCCCGGAAAGGGGAAGTAAGTTGGTGACGGAGAATCGTCACAAAGTTTTTGAAGAGGCTCGTCCGTTCGCACTCGATCGTGGGTATTCCTTCTAGTTCTACCAAGAAGAAGGACAACTTGAAGGTCCTTTGACTCAAGGTTACAGTTCGATGGAGTTTTGCAGAGGTAGGTAAAGATATACAACGTTACCCTTACCCATATACCATAAGCATTTACAGGTGGGCTATCAAGTGCTAATATGTGTCGTACACCCACGTTGCGCTACCGTCGGTGGCAAACTCCAAAACTTCCGAATCGGTATTTAACAGCCGACCTTATGTCGTGATACCTGTACAATTAATCGTAGCCAAAAATGTCTAGTCAAGCCACAGGTTTCACTGTCAACTTGATAAAAACAACTTTTCATTGGAACAATGCCCCCTTCTAGTATGACATTTTGAAACTGCGTGGGGTGGGTGGGGGAAGGGGCCGGTCGAATTACCGGGGACTTTCCGCTCAAAGCCAAAGGTCGATGGGAATGAAAACATGACAGCCGTGTCACATGATAAGAAAAGCGGAATTCCCCGCGGTCGGACATATTAAGTACAGGTAATTTACGTTGCAGTCAGGAAAGCGCCGAGGCTGGCATGGGGTATGAGCTTTCTTGACGGTCGTCTTTCCTCTCCCGAGACCACGACAATTGCCTTTAAGCCAATATTGTTACTGTTACGGCAGCAGATTCAGCGACAATAGCTTCTTTATTGAATGCAAACGTACCAGGTAGAATGTAACGTTATACGGGCAAGGTAAGTGATACATGGCAGAATTACGTCAACGTTGTGCAATTACTGGTAGGATTTTTAAATGATTCATTTTAAATTTCCTGAGATCAGGTAATGAAAACTTGTCAAATTAATCAGGGCATTTGTATTGTTTACTTATCGCATTGGTGGGGTCGTGTGGCGTAGCGGCAGAGTGCGCGACTCGGAACCTAGCTAGCGGTCCCGGGTTCGAGTCCTGACATGCCACCGATCTTGTGCCCTTGGGAAAGGCACTTTACACGACTTTCCTCACTTCGCTCAGGTGAAAATGAGTATTGTCCTGTCACATGTATTTGTCCCCTGTGTTGGTGGCGGCATTAATATAAGTTGAAAAAACTTGAGTGTGCCGTCACCACGTCTGGTGATTACATTTTGGAATAAAAAAAAACCTCTCCGTAACTCTAAATTGTAATTTAGGATCCTTTTCCACACAAGTAATACACTAAAGATTTTGCCTTATTACGTGTGATCGACAGTATGGCAACTGTACAAGAGACTGATAGTAAAAGTAAAAGTAGTCACCTTTAATAGAGTTCTACTCTCACACACATCATTATTCTTCTCTTTCGGTAGTAACCTGTTCAATGTACAATGTTAGGATGTAAGCTACACCATTTACTTATGAACTATTATCTATTTTTGGCAGGATTTCGCCCATAATTTACCACTGAAGCAGACTTTGTGACAGTCTGGCAAGCAGAATGGAAACAGGTAAGACTTGCACTATCACTCAAAGAAAGCATTTTTTTTAATTTTACCATAATTTTTTTCATTTCTATCATCTGCATCATCTGCATGCATCAGGTATCAATATCATTACTACTTATGTGGTTTCTACAGGGTGTTGTTATCTACATGAAAATGTCGGCATTGTTTTTGGTCTGTGTGTGTGTGTGTGTGTTTTGTGTATGTGTGTGTTTCCGCAGCTTGTAGTCAGCATAACTTAAGGAGGCCTGTATGGATTATGATGATAATTGGTATGTCTTAGAAAACAAAGGTCAAATTTGGGCCTCCTGGTGGCTGACCGTGGTACTGTAGCAGAACTTCCTTTTTTCCTGGACATGCTATGGCCTTGATTTTTTGGTGGCTGGTAGCTTTTCCTGTCAGGAATAAGTGCCGTAAGTTTGGTCTCTCTGGCAGCTTGTTCTGGAACTGCATGGGAAAATCTTTCAAAGCGGATAAATCAATTAAGGAAGGAACGACTAATTTTCTTATTTTTGGCATGCAGGCAGCTTAGAC